AACTGGATTCGATCAAATGTGCCATGTCTAAAATGTTGGAGCTTAACTAGTCTTTTTGGGACATCGAACATCTTTACTGTGCTCTTGATTTGTCAAGCGGTCTCCGCGAAATCTGATGGTTGTGGGTTCATTGTTCAGAACGGTCACCAATGTACACATTATTAATAATGTCGCCTAATGCGCTCCTCCCATGGTCTACAATTTCAGTGGAAGACTGGAAAATCGATTGTCCCACAATTGGAAAGCGTTGTCATGCAAATCGGGCAACAATGGACCTAACATGAATATTGATTTATCATGATGAATTTCTCCGGACTAGGGATTAAATGGTGGAACGTTTTTTTGCGTCTTCCGCAGTTCAGAACTGGACTCCATTTCATAGCATTGCCGAAGAACTGACAATTTCTCTCCATATGGTGGATTGTGCTATTCACAGCAATTAGTAGGCTCTTACCACATCGCGCTATCAGCTTAGTTCCCCCTCTCTTTCATGTGTAACGAATTTTGACGTGTATTTGAACAACTAAGTAATGTGTTGTCTCTTTGTCTCTTTAATTCTCACCGACTGATCATCCTTTTGTTTTCGAAACTCACTGAGGCTTTACTTCTCCCCTCATCTCCTTCACCGCATTTTTCCAGCCGTCATCTCATCGATCGAGTGCGGGAACCACGGCCCAGTTGGATTTCAGTTTTCTGCCAACCCATTTCGACACCCCGGATAGTACTGGTTGGGCCGGTTGTACGGCTCAAGAAGCCGGTCAACCGGAAGCCATACGGATAAATTTGAATGAGGTTCTCGGGCATGGAGCGAATGGAACAATGGTTTTTGCGTACGTATCCTCCTGGGTGAACTAGATTAATTCTTTCCTTTTTGTGTGATTCTGTAGTTCCCAAACATGTGGCTGTAGTTTGGTGTTTCTTTATTGTTCAAGTTCTTTACTGCAGTTACTACGGTAAGGTGGTAATTAGAACGCATTTCAAATGCATCTTGGAAGTGTGATAATTCTCGTCTCTCACCCGGTTTAAAAAAATCTGATTCTGTAGAATGTAATGGACCTAATGAGTCGAGTCATACAATCCAGAGATCCTCGATTATGTTACGCGGAATCCATCGTAAGCTTCACCTACCGGACGTTGGAAATGCACACTGGGCATCATATGGCCGCAATACGCATACCACAGGACCGTTTTTACTTATCCAGTCTGTTTCCTAAACGCGAGGATTAGAATTTCTTATGAAAATATCTCTCAAATATCTACTAAGACAGCGTTTCTTGAACGACGAATAAATGTTAGGATCGCACATTATATATGGTGTTTTTTGGCTACATAAATGGATTAGGAATGCTGATATTTTACATAACACAAGTAAAACGTTGTTATATCACCCTTTTTCTTCGTAGTCGCTGATCCATTGCACCCGATTACCTGCTATGTAGTAAAATTGTAAAAATTCACGTCTAGCCAATATAGTTTAATTTACTAATATCCATAGAAGTAATTGTTAGTTAGAATTAGTTACCACTCGTTCGAATTGAAATTTGATATACATCTCCAGGTGACTGTAAAATGTTCTGCGAGTAGCTCAATCTACTGGATGACAGAAGTCACTCATATTTATGTCTGGATGATCATTTTGAATGTCTGAATTACGTTGTTGGGTAGATGAGGGAAGTTCATATTGCTTGTTCATGGAAGATTCTCACAAGAATATCTTAAGACAAACAATAGTAACCAAGTTTGTTTTCGTAACTTTGTCTTCGGGCATTTACAGTTGTGTGTTTATATATAAGGTAGAAGTAAACATGATTGGTTTATTAGGCTAAATGGGAAAGAACAACGACGCATGTCAAGTTGTGGGACACTTTGGTGACTTTAAGAGCATCGTTGTCTATCTGGTGCCCGGCACCAACAAGGTGGACAGCGTTTATTTCTGCCTTATATGTCAACACACGTAACTGTAAATGCCTGAAGACGAAGTTACGAAAGCAAACTCGTTCGCTGTATTGATTGTCTTTTGATAAAACGTTTATGTTTAGATTCCAAGGGTATCCGTATTCTTTTGGGGGTTCGAATTCTCGCATGAACGTAACTTACGCTTTGGTATTGGCCGCAGTTAGAGGTGTCGTTTAAAACATGAATAAATGCGTGAGATATATCCAATTAGACTGCAGTTTTTCCGCGCGCTTATTCTTCCGGTTAAACTGACACCACCTATGAAATGAATCCATTAAAGTCAATTGTTTTTCTGAGTTCTGTGAACCGGGGAGATGTTTGGGTTAAAACGGTTCGATAACTCTCCATACGTCAAAAGTTTTTCTACCCCTTGGCGTGTTTCCAGTAGTTGTGTTGTCCATTTTGAATATGGCTGTTTTAACTGTCACATAATCCAAACCACCAACTCGTGTGCATTGAAATTGTTCTTGAAATCCAGGGTTATTACCAGACAGATAGTCATGTGACGTTTCTATTTAACTGACCAACACTTATAGAACAGATGCTCCTTTTGTATGTCATTTTCGTACCTAGCAGCCCTAAACTGCTTTCCTTTTTCACGTTTCCCCCCCCCCCCCCNGCCTCTTGCTTATTTTCTCTATCCTGTGCACAGTTTTCTCACAGGACAGGTCATTTTTGCTGTTTGTACCCTATGATCACTTTCCATTTCATCAACATGGGTCCTAAACACTTATCTATCTGTGGAGTCTCATGCTATCACACGTGTCCCTAGTTTTTATAGATAGATCTACAAACACTGGCGATGTAACCGTAAATAAGAAGGCCAAGTGGTGCTATGGAAACCGCCTATTCCAGAGATTCTCTGTGCATTATTGTGATTTTCATGAAACTAACCGATCCTCTCGAGTGAGATAATCGTATAAAATTAATAAGTGGAAACGGACCCATTCCAGTCTATTGTGACAAAGAACACAGTAACCAGATTGATAAGGAGGGAATCAATCCGCAGATCGTTCTATGTGCGATCCGTAAATTTCTTCCCTGAAGTAAGAATGCATGTACTATGCACTCGGTTTCCTTGGAGCGTCAATAAATGGATCTTTGTTTCTCTCAAGGCAAACGGTATACGACATTTGGTTAGATAATCAGGGACCTGTTCGTATGAAATTCCCAGGAGTTATCGGTCTGACGGACACGCGTTTCTAAACAAACGTATCTTTGATAAGTTCAAATTAGCCAAGGAAAATCGTTTTCGTAGCTGTTTAGTTTTTTACATTTACTGAAAACCATATAGCCTACACTTCATTAGTATCTTCATTTGATCTCCGAATCAGACCCCTACTTCGAACCACTTTGTTTACCTTTCCAGTGGCAAGTTCGGAGCGCATCAGACTGCCGTGAAGCGTATCGTGCGTCAACCTCAGTTGGAGAAACACTGGCGTCGGGAACACGCCATTTTGCTTCGGCATCATCATCCCCATTTGGTTCGATGCTACTGGACGGTAAGTCCTTCTCCATCCATTTTGCTAAGCATCGCTTCCTTTGATTAATTAATCAATAAATGGGGATCTGGGATGAGCTGTTTGCTTATCATTAAAAGTGCAATACGTTATACATTCAGAGTATTAATTTGGTGCTCAGATAAACTGTAACGAAATTTACGGGTAATACTCGTTGTTGGTAGGGGGAGAACAACTTACTTCTGAGCTTTACAAAATTGATGGCTTTTCTGTGGGTGGAGAAACGGAGTTCAAGTTGATTTCTCACACTTTGCGGGTTCTATAAGGGCATTGAAGGACCCGTCCTACAAGGACTAGTCATGCAAGTTGCACTGGACGCTTCACGTACCGCCGGAGGTCGCAGCGGCGCCATGGCAGACACAAACATTCCTTTGTTTGCATGCCATTACGTTACTGCAGACTCGGAAACCAAGCGAGATGTTACTTACCCACTAGTGAATTTAGTTTTATTTGTCCGTAACTCTCTTAGTTAAAATAAGGCTGGAATTGAGAATAATCCCTTCAAGTAATGACGGACTACACTGTTCACAAAAAATCCATACCTTGGACTTCATTTGCGTTACTGAACACCCGGTGCTCGAACCTCTCCTCGTCCGACAGTGTTGCCGTACACGAATCGCGTTGGAACCTAGGACTTTGTATTCGATGTTGAATGGCAAAATATGAAGTGCTATAAAAGACTAACGTTTGCCAACATTAACTCAGTTTTCTGTATGAATAAAGGTATTGACTATTTAGTTGTTTACTCAACAATAGCTGCGCAAACTGATCTCCATAAACAGGAGGTTCGGAAGCTGAAAAGGGCTGTGATACAAACTGAGCGCAGGCGTGCCAGCTAGCGTTGTATGGATTGATCTGTGAATTTGCTGGGTCCACCGTAATCATTCACAAAAGTTGAAAACTCAGTGAGGAAGTTTCGACTATGGATATTCTCCGTTGCCGTTGGTCGATAACGATCAAAGTTGTGTCTCGCGTATTGTTGAATTGTTATGCGGCCCCTGGAAAACCGCTAAACACGTGTGAACAAATTGCAATACCCCATTGTACCGCATTACCACCCGATGATCGTGCATATCTACACTCACTATTCGAGCTGAACACATCATCGCATCCAACCAAACTAATGATCAAATGCACTAGTCGTTAACTGTGAAATGCAGTGTGTATTACTGCCACCGTGTTCGAAGGACGCGAAATTCGTGTCCGACCCAATCCATCGAGAATACTTATTCATAGCAGCGATCAGTCCCAAATATGGGGTTCTCATTTTGGTATGCGACCATTTTCCTGTGTGTTTGCATTTCTGTTTCCCCCTTGTAAACAATTCATTTTCCATGAGGGTCTCCATCAAACACCACATTTCCGAGGTTTTTGACCCCCGGCTTATGTGGTTTTCTGATCGTTCTTTTAAGCTTTCATTTGATCGTTATTCAGTTCAGTACGGTTCTGTCCGACGCTCGATCCTGATGAACTCATTGGTTTTGATTCTATACAGTACCTTAAACAATTGATTTTTTTGCTAGTGTGTCAAATTGTAAAGCTTTTCTTGTTTCTTGAAATTAGCTATTTACTCGCCTCAATTTTACATGATCCAAAATGTGTTCTATTACACGTTTCTTCCCCCCGACGCCCATATTTTTCAGGGCAGCACAGCCAATTTTCANCCCCAGCGTAGTTTGGACATGTGGGGACTGACACCGTGTGGTGTGATTCACCAAGTGATGCAAGCGGTGGTCTGTTTGCATCAGAATCACATCGGTAGGTTTCTCACTCGTGTGTGTGTGTGTTTCATCGTCTCTGTACCTTCATACATACCTGTTTCGACATGTTCTCATTTCTGATCTCTTCTTGTTTTCTCTGCGATGCACTTCAAATGAGATCAAAAGTAATCAGTCGGTTTTTTTCTTCAGTCCAGACGTAGTTCCAAATGGGAATTCGTCG